TGGTGGCCTACACCTATCCTCCCAGCACAAAAGAACAAGAACAAAAAAAAATGAAGACAAAGGGGAAAAAGCCAAATTCCGGTCTACACAGCTTATAGATGGAACCATGCCTTGGCTAAGAGTCTGTCTTTAAAAAATTAACTAAAGAAAAAAACAACACCACCTTGAGTTGTAGGGTCCTCAAAGATCTCACCCAAAGTCACCTCCCCCAGCACCAGCATTTTTACACACACACGCACACACACACACACACACACACACACACACACACCCTTTTGAAGACTAATGGTCCTCTGGACTGGTTAGTTTTGGTAGAGAGGCAAAGTCTAGGGAAGATTGTCATGATAGTCATGTTTTCAAAAATGAAAAGAGAGGGTCTGTGAGTGTAGGTCAATAGGCTGTACTTGCTTGGAAGCAGAGGGTCCTATCTGGGTCTAATTCCTAGTACTACAAAAAAGAAAGAGAAACAAATGGAAAGGAAGGAACCAAGGAGGGAAGGAAGGGAGAGAGGGAGGGAGGGAGAAAGGAAGAAACAAGGAAAGGAGAGAGGAAAAGGAGGGTTTAAAACACACTATGGGTTATGCATGGGTGACAGGAGAGCTGTGGATTCCACTTGACAGGGCAGCAGAGAAGGAAACACCCTAGAAGGAAAAACTGGTCGACCTGCGCACCTGCCAGGAAAAGACTGCAGGTCAAGCACCAGGCTATGATCCAGGGCAAGTGAGGTCCCTACCTGCTGGGCAACTAACTGCCCTTACTCCACAGAAAGGAGGGAGGCAACGTTAGGGAGCAGGTTTAATATATGACAATTAAAAGATCGGAAGAATCACAGAAAATAATGACACATGTTTTAAATATAGCAGCTACCTAGGGTAGACATGCACATTCAGCTATAATAACTAGAGAAAGATTACAAAGGAGGATGAATGCAAGAAAGCTTGTATCATGTTATAGCATGAGCAGGGTATTTTGCCAAATTATCTATTCTATCTGAGTAGTAGAATGAGTGGCAAAATGTGAGTATGTGAAACTCAGTGTGCATGGAAGGTTTCTAACATTTATGGAGCATAGAAAAATGTTACAATTGAGTTGAAATAATAATATTTTATATAACTTAGGCACTTAGGAAATGGTGAATCTAACTAGACTAGGATCAATAGCCTAGTTAAACACTCTGCTCTATCATCTATCTGCCTGAAATAGGCAGACCCATGGAGTTATCAGCCTATGCTTCCTAATTGGCAGATGTTGTGAAAGTCTAAATGGCATGAGAATATTTAGTCTTGATAAATACATGGTAAAACGAGGTAGGCATGGTGGTGCCCTCCTGTAGTGTCAGCTACTTGGGAGGTTGAGGTACGAGGATCGCTTGGGTTCATCAGTTCAAACAAGCCCAGACAGCACAGTGAAAACAAGTCTTGGCTTAAAAAGAAAAAACCCAACTCTTACTTCTTCACTTCCTCTTCCTCTCTCTCCCACCTTCCCTGCCTCTCTCTGGCTCTCTTCATCTTTCATTCTCAAAATTTAATCCAGCCATCATTTGACATTTAAGGAGGTGTAAATCCTATTTTACATGTTAACTCCATTTAATGTTCATCATTTCCCTCTCACAACACTTCCTAGGATAACCAATTGTATGTTGCATATAGACTTGTCTCCAAATCCAAGAAGTCACTCTCATATGTACGGAATTTGAGAGAACTGGGGGGATTAACATGAGGAGAAGTTGGAACAAATAGATGAGACGTGGACCCCCTACAGAGGAGTTCCCCTGTGGTAATACAAATGAGTCATGGGCAGTCCATGTAAAACAGGTCTATTTATTAATCTCAGCTTCAGAAAGTCGCAAAACTACCTTCAAATTCCAGCCGTGTCATAATATAGTCATGAATTTACATCATTACTGAAGAGAAATGCAGGTGTTCTCATTTGGAAATAAATAGCTAATGCCTAAGAAGTAACTTTATACTGAAATTTAAATAACCCTCATGTGTAAAAATATGTGAACATATTCTTAATTTAATCATACTTTTTTCTTTCAGTCATTTAGAATCAAAGAATTAAATTCATCTAATTTCTTATTATGATAAATAATTATTAGTTACCCATACAGGGTATTGAATAATTAACATAGTATTAGGATTATAGTTTCCAGGTAGCTCACATATGACCCATGAAATGTAGGACATTCTGCCTCAGAGTGCATCTTAATAAGGAGCTGGATTTTAGGTACTACTTCACTAGTGTATCAGATGGAGTGAGTTGAAATTCTTCAGACTCTTTTGCTCTGCACTTAAGATTCTTCTTGCCATTCAGGGGTCATGAGACACAGACACAGCATTGACATTGTGACCTGGTAACGCCTATACTTTTCTGTGGAAAGTATTCAAAGCTAGACTTTCTTCATGAGTGTTAGAGATTCATGGAACATGTGCTACCAATCTTAAATAGATTCCACAGTAGCCTGGCTAGAAATCCATATATACAAAAGTAGAGAAAGAAGTTGTCAGAAAGGAGGAATCTAAATTGTCTGAATTCCTGACCTGAGAACTAAAATGTATGGCATCAATTGTCCTAAGAGGTTTAGAAAACACCACAAGGTGGGTAGTACGTGAGGTTTAAGCTTGTGGAATGGGTCAGGAAGGAAAAAGTACTTGTGTATCAAGCCAAGAGTAACAATCTAAAAAGTATTGAGAGTAGCTCTTTAGATTTGGAAGCAAGTGTCTATATGCCACCTATGGCAAATTATGCTAGGATTTGGTTTTAGAAGATATAAAAATTAAGGGTAATTGACACGTGAGAGTATAATTTACATTTCTCTAGAAGTAAAATGGGTATACAAATATATTCTTTTTCTTAGGTGCTGAGAAACAAACCCTAGCACCCCTCCCACAGAGCTATTTCAAGCCCTGTTAAATCTTCCTTTTGAAGCAAGGTCTCAGTTGAGCATGCAGGTCTCAAATATGTGATCTTCCTGCCAACTAGCTGTGATTGTAGGCCTGCCCCTCCAAGAAAATTGAACATATTCCTTTTCAGCATCAATAACTAAAGTTTGAACTTAGCCTTGAAAGAGAAGTGGGCTCCCTCTATTTTTCAGAAATCCCTGCAAGTACATGTGGGTTGGGTTTGGAAAGGACACTCTCAGAGGGTGTTTGGGGAACTCAAGACTGACATTACTGAAACTTGTGGAGAATACTGCATTTCTGGGCTTCTTCCTCCTTGGTCAGCTCTGCCTGTTTTTGCTAAGGTTATTTCTCAATGAGAGTACAGAAGAAGATGGATCACAGACGAGTTTTTGAGAATGAATCCCCAGATAAGTAGACATATGTTCTTTTTCCAAAAATGGCAACTGTTGCCAGCAGATGAACAAGTTTCACCTTTTCGCCTGAATTTTATATGTAGCCAAAGATCTTTAAGGATCTTATTTCCTGGTACTTTTCCCTAGGGCTGTCTGATGGTTAGCAGAACACAGACTGATATAGAAACAGTCAGCTTCCCAACATTGACCCTAGTGAGTCCAAGACCTATTAAAAATGTCTTGAACAGATACATAGATACAATTTGTTCTTTCTCTTTATACCAGATTTAAGGTAGGAAAGTCAATTAAATATTTATTTTAATGCAAACAATGGGCTTAAGTTCTGATAAACAGAAAATAGAGATGAGGTAGAGAAGATGAATTCCTGGGTAGTAGGAATTTATCACAAAAGACAAGTCAGTCACACCAGTTCTTAGGATGAGGCTCTGAATGCTTTAACAGAAAAGAGGTGGGGAGTTTCTCTTCTCTAGATATGGAATGGAAATGGAATGATCAATTTTTTTCCAACTTTATATTTATTGAAGTTTTGGTAGAATACATGTGAAACTTTAAAAACAAAAATAAAAGATAAATTTTCTATTTCTCCATGTTTGTGTATTTAAACCTTCCTTCCATTCACTTACTTTTGGACTCTTCCCATTGTTTGCCATTACCACTGTCACTTCCATCCATGTATCCATCCACCAGTCATTCACTCATCCATCTCCCATTCCTTCATTTTAGAACAAATTTTATTGCAAGTATAATCTTAAAAATTCAACAAGGATGGCTCTACAAAGAAATATATATTTTCATCATTATTGAAATTTCTAAAATTAACAAGTGTTGGAAAAATGATAACTTTAGTACAAATCGGGAAATAGTTTGACAATATTTTTATTAAGAATTCACAGCAATTTAGAAAAGCGAAAACATGTTTTCATTTGTTACAAGTTATGGACTCAAAAATAATAGACATATGATATTTGATGGCAAAAACACTGAGTTGTCCCACTAAAAATGAAAGTAATGGAAGCAAGCCCATCATCAACTTTAATACTCAAGCACCAAGTTTGCCGTGTGATGAAAAAGCAGAAATGGGCTACAAATAATAAAGGCGAGAATAGAAAGCCACAATTACAAAATTATGTACCTTAAAAGTCTAAAAGATTCAGAAATTACAAATACACAACTATGAAAGCAGGTCAAGTTTGATATAAGAAATAGCACTTTATTCTTTTTAATTCTTTTATTGGTACATTTTGGGTATACAACACAATTATATTTCTCATTGGGAACTTGTACCTTTACATGATGCATCTTGGTTCTTATTTTTTCCCCATTCCTACCCCTCCCTTCACCCCCTCCACCCTTTCCTATTTACAAAGACTTTATTTACATTTTTTCCATTTCTCATCATTTTTCCTTTCCCTTCTTTCCTTTCCCCTGCCCCTCCCACTACCCCTACCCCTTTGGACATTTTCTTCCTATTTTGCATTATCGATTATTCATTCTAATTATTGGTACATTTTAGGTAAACAATATAATGACTTTCATCATTGGAAATAGAAATAGCACTTTAAATAAAACATAAAGTGCATGAAAATGTTGTAGATAAATACATTTATTTTCACATTATCAATAAAACCTAAAGAATTTCTGGATAGCTATGACAGAAAAATCATTGCAGATATATTATTTATATGAATGTAATATATACAAAATAAGGTACAGATATATAGATACATGTCTCATATTAATAAAGGAAGATTAAGCAAGAAAATGGAAATATTTAGCCAACATTGATAGAAAAACTTACAACAGCACACTACATGTTCATCCCCTAAATTAACATTTGTATAAATTCAGTACATTGCCACTTAAAATTCAATAGTTTTTGTTATAACATGTAACCAGCCAGAATATTAAAAGGCGATTGTTAGAGAAATACATAGCAAGCTATAAAAACATACTATAAAACCAGCAAATTATAAATCATGGTTCTCCTTGAAGAGAAAAAAATTAAGGCAATTCAAAAATATAGTGATCTGCAGGCGAGAGTTACCCTATGAAAAAATTATGAAAAGAAGGGTCAGTTGTTCACTTAAGTCAAGAGCATCTTGTAATTTAATATCTGACTGCCAAAAGAAAAAAATAGTGCAGATTTGTGTTGACCCTCCACATATTTTAGGAAAAAGATGTGCTTTAACTTAAGAAGGCTTCTTTCTCCCAGAGTGTGTTTTATCTCTGAATTCATGTAAGGAATTTCTATCTGGCCTTAACAAAATAATGTAGCACTTAGGGGCAAAGATGCAGCCTAGCAGGCCAGCACTGGAGGCCAAGATGCAGAAGACCTCCATGGCCACCATGACCTTCCCTTTTGTGCTGTGGTACACAGGGAGGAAAGTGATCCAGACACTGCAGAACACCACCATGCTGAATGTCAGGAACTTGGCTTCATTGAATGTGTCGGGTAGGTTTCTGGCCATGAAAGCAACAGTAAAGCTTGCCAGGGCCAGGGAGCCCAAGTATCCCAAGACACAGTAGAAGACAGCGAGGGAGCCCTTGTTGCACACAATGATGATGCGGCCATGTTCAGAGTGTACATCTGTGTCAATAAAGGGTGGATTTGTTCCCATCCAGATTCCACAGAGAGTGAATTGAATCAGGGAGCAGAGGGGAATGATGGAGTTGGGTGCCCCTGATAGTAACACCTGCCTCATCCTTCTGCCTGGTAGAGTGATCTTAAAAGCCAGAACCACAGTAATGGTTTTGGCCAAGACAGTGGAAACAGCCACAGTAAACACAACTCCAAATGTGGTCTGCCTGAGGATGCAGGTGGCCGTGTTAGGACGGCCAATGAAGAGTAAGGAGCAGAGAAAGCAGAAGGAGAGGGAGATGAGCAGAATGTAACTGAGTGCCCGGTTATTGGCCTTGACCACGGGAGTGTCTCGGTGTTTCACGAAGAGCCCAAGAACAGTAACTGTGAGAATAGTGAAACTCAGGGCTGTGCCAGCCAGTGTCATTCCCAAGGTGTCTTCGTAAGCCAGAAAAGTCACCGATTTTTGGAGGCAGTGGTTTTGCTGAATGTTGGCATATTGATGAAGTGGACATTTCACACATTCTTCCATATCTAGTAAAATTTAAACTGTCATTAGTTCAAGTTTATTAGTTCCCTCTTGTTCACAGACTCACCTCCAGAAGCACAATGGACTTGTTAAACTAAATTTGTCAGATTCTGTTTTTCTTGTCTTTTTTTCTGTCTCTTTACTTTAAATTCTTCAGTACTGGGTGTTGTATTCAGGGTATTTTATCAATCTATACTCCTAACTTTTTAAAATTTTATTTTATACTGAGTCAGAATCTCCTTAAGTCAGTACATTGCTCTGACCACTTCAAAGTTGAAATCCTCCCACTTCTCACTCCCAGGGTGCTGGAATAGCCAGTATGTGCCACCAAGGCTGGTTTCTCCTTTACGTTTCTAGACACAAAGGAAAAGAATATTATATACACAATAACTCCTAATTAATACTACTTGTTTCTTTGTGGTGTAGTGAACAGTGATACTATTTATTCTAATTATCCTACCATTTTTATAAATGTGTTTTTCTGTATTCTCAAAGCAGTAAAAGACCTACCTATCTCAATGAACCCTGCCTAAGTGATGCTTGGGATATTCATTATTGACCAATCAGTTGCTCAGAAACCAATACAATTTGCTAATTTCCAGGAGACCAGTAGTACTTAATGTCTTGCAAAGTTGTGCTACCCTATAAATGTAGTTTTCACCAAAAAAAGATTGAAATTTTTACTACATTTGAATTCAATCAGTACATCAAATTGAAAGTACTAACATTCTGCAGTTATTGAAACTTTCCATCTAGAAACATGATTACCGAACCACTTTTTACAAGTTTTTGTTCATAATATTTTTTATAGTTTAATAATGTTATTTTCAAAACCCTTACAGGATACTTGACTATGTATTTATAACACTGTTTTTGTCACTGCTGTTGTTGTTTTTGTTTTGGTACTAGGCATTGAATGCAAGGCAGGCATGATGCCACTGAGCTAAAGCTCTGGGCCTTCACTAGATATTTAATACTTTTAAAATGTAGAAAATGTCACTTTTTAAAATTTCATCTATAAATGGTTCATGGCTCAGATGCAGAAATACATTTTAAAATTAATCTTGTATTCCAACTTGACTAAAGTCAACAATTAATTCATTAATTTTTGTGGGCTTTATACATACACAATAATACCATTGAAAATTATTATCAGTTTATATTTTGTCCTGTTCAATATATTTTTGGATGTTTTGTTGGGGAGGGTTGTTTGTTTGAGTTTTTTTATTTTTTTTTTGTTTTTGAGGTACTGGGGATCAAACTCAGGATCTTGCACTTGCAAGGCAGGCACGGTGCTACTGAGCTAAATTCCAGACTGTGTTTTCTTGACTCTATTGAGTTGGCCCAAACATCCAGTGATTATGAGTAAAAGTGGTGACATAAAAAATTCTTCTCTCACTCCTGCTGTCAAAATTGAACCACAAAATGTGAGAATTGTTTTAGCATTATATAAGTATAATTGATGGGATTTATACAGTTTCTACCTACTCTTAATGTAGTAAGAATTGCTTTGTTGTTGTTTATGTATTATCCTAAACAGATGTTTGATGTTATTATGCATTTCTTCATTTATTAATATTACATCTATTTTCCAAGAAACTAGTACACTCAATTATAAACTCAATCATAAATTTAATTTTGTGATTGTGTGCCCTCCTGAAAATATAGATCTCAATTTCAAATAGAACACAGTACATGAAATTAGATGGACAAGGAAAGTAGCCTATAAACTATTTTATACAGTGGCATTGCCAGATGTGAGTAATAGAATTTAGCTATTCTCTTAAAATAAATTGTTTTCCCCTTTTAATTTTTTCTGAAAGAATTTCAGTGAGTATTGGAATGTTGTAGAATAATTATAAATTTCATTATTGATAGTCTGAATTCACAGTAAAATTGTGCAAAAAGACTAAAATACTAACTCAAATTTGTTAATAGACTTGATACTATAGAGATCTTTTCCTTAGGACTGATTTGCTTACTTTTCTTGTGATTTTCTAAATTTAAAGTCAACTTTCAAATCAATTGATTCAAAATTATTAATATTATATTTTATACAATAAATTTCCTGTATATCTCTACAAATGACCCTCTTTTAATCATGGTATTATGGTGTTTTGTGATATTTTTTCTTTCTTCTTGTTAAAAAGTATCAACCATTGTTAATTATTTTTTACCAGAGTCAACTTAATTGTTTCCCTACATATTTCTTTTAATTTCTTAAAAATCCCTATCATATTGCTCCTATCTTCTATTTTTGCATACAATTTGCTTTTCATTTTTTACTTTATAATGAATATTTCACAGGAAGAACTTCAGCCCTTGTTCATTTAAATATACATAAGAGCTTGTAATGGTATGTAAAATGAAATATTAAATACACATTTGTCCCTAAGGTGCAACTCACAGGATTTGATAAGTAATATTTTCAATTTCAGATGATTTTTAATTTGTGTCTTAATCTATTCTATAAACTACAAATTGTCATGAATTATATTTAATAAACAGGAAACATAAAGTAATTGACATTGCTGGGTGCATTGATCTTCATATACATACATGAAACATTTAGATAAAAGTATCATGTGGGCTGGGGATTTAGCTCAGTGGCACCAGATGTGCATCACAAGCACAAGTTCCTGAGTTCGATCCCTGGTACCAAAAAACAACTACCATATCCCCAAACCTTATCAACAACAAATATCCAAATGAAGTAGATAGTACATCTTATGGTCAGTCTTGATTTATTTCAAAGCAAATTTTAAATCATACTTAGTGTGTTGCGATCAAAACACACATGAGCCACAAAAACAAATTGGAATACATCCAGTATAGAGGTAATTTCAACGTGTCATAATTTATAACAAATTCAGGAATTTATGATAAGTGGTACTTGTGGTATACAAAAATATTCCATATTGGTTTCTGTAACTTTGCTGCCCCATGTCTCAAGCCCCATCCTCATATTATTTGTGTTTTAATTACATGGAGCACTAGCTTAGGTTCTTTGAAGAGAGATGGAGGGAAGGGTGAAGAAAAGGAGGGAAAGGGGATGAAAAAATAGACACAATATGCGTATGTACCAACTTGTCACAGTGAATTTGGCCACTATGTTCTGCAAACATGTACTAATAAAAATGCCAATTAGAAATAATTTTTTAACATAGACAAAAAGTAAATAAAAATTGTAGGGGAAAATATAGCACTTTGGCCACTTGTACTAATTCTAAAAATGTATGTCACCCCTCACATTTCTCATAAAACACTAATTCTATCACTGTTGTAAAATGTCTTTAACTCTCTCCTAAAAATTATAAATATCATCACTTTTTAAATATCTTATTCTTTTTGCATGTTGTCATTGCAGTTACATGGCACAAACCATAATTCATTACAAAGGATTTTCCTCATATTCACCTAAGAATTCAAGGTTAGCAGGGATAAAATCCTAGTAACTGAGGTTATGCTGTACTACAAATATGTTGTATACCAAGGACATGCCTTTGTCTTGAACCAAATACAATACCTGTGAGCTCCTGCTTTGTGTCAAAAAAAAAAATAGGAACTGGAAAACGAGGACATGCAAAATCTTTGTCTTAACTGCACTTTAAATTTAGTTTGGAAGAAACTAAAGAGTTGGTGTTTAGTAATATTTTATGTTAAACTTTATGATGGAGATGAAGGTTAGAAGTCATTGGATTATGGAGAGGGTTTTGTTTTGTTTTTCTTTTTAAAAACAATGCTTTCATAGGTCTAGAAAAATGAATCAAAATGGCCAGGTGTAGTGGCACATACCTGTAATCCCAGCTAATCAGCAGACTGAAACAGGAAAATTACAAACTTGAGTCCAGCCTAAGCAGTTTATGTGATTCTGTCTCGAAATACCAAAATAGAAATGATTGGGAATGAAGCTCAGTGGGAGAGGATCTCTCCATCCAATCCACAGCAATGTCAAAACAAACAAACACCAAATGAAAAGAAAAAGATGAATGAAAGTGTGTAGTTAAAGGGACAAACTGAGAGTATTTTAATGGGTAATAGTACTGAGCAGAACAAACTAAAGAAAAAAAGATAATTTTTCCATTAAGACACACTCTTGGACTGGGGATTTAGCTCAGTGGTTCCGCCGCCTGCCTCCCAAGCGCAAGGACCTGAGTTTGATCCCTGGTACCAAAAAAATAAATAAATAAAATTTTTTTTTAAAATACCCCTCAAGACACACTCTTACCAGTGTCATTGGCCACTTCATTTTCTGGACAACGGATACAATTAAAACAACAGGCAGCCTTTCCCTCCTGAGGAGTTTTCCTAAATCCAGGATTGCAACTCTCACTGCATATGGAGCGGGGAATCTAAGGGAAAAAATATATTTGGGGAAAATTTTAGAATTTTGCTTACTCCTTTAGAATAGGAGGAATAAACTCAATTTGAGTATACACATAAATTTGATTATATAGTTAAATGGAATAGTTAGTTAATAAGAAGAAATATGTAAATATTTGCAAACATATAGTTAAATAAACATGTTCCTTTTCTGCTTATCACAAAGCTGGTAAATAAGAAAATTTTTCAAATTGAAAATCCAGCTGTTCAATATCTACATGACCATTTCGTGAGCAAAATTGGGGCCCAAAACCTTCAACAATATGTTGATTATAACAAAGTGCGATATGATTAGGTCAAACATACCTGGTGAATTGCTATGGCCCACTCTATCATATCCCCAGATAAAGACAATTGTTGCACAAGTGGAACATGTGAGGAAAACGTTCCTAATTTGACCTTAAGTCTAAGGCCTTCTGGGAAGTTCCAAAAGTTGAGAATGTCGTATTCTGCATCCAGTTTCCCTTTCTCATCCAAATTCACTTGATCTCCAGCAGGATTCTTAAATTGGATGTTTCTCAGAAAGGGGTGCAACTAAAACAAACACATCATTCTATAGTGAAAAAAATCCATGTTTGAGACAGAAAACAAAGAATGAATTAATGAAGAAAGAATAAACTCCTTTTTCATATTGCCACTTTAACCTTGGCATCTAATAAACTACGGCACACATAACATCCTACTGAGAACAAATATATCTAAATATGTTATTAAAAATCAATTTCAGTAAAAGTATTTGATCCAATGCCATTTAAACAAATACTTTACATGTGTGTTAGACAAAAATCCACTGTGCAATCAAAGCTTCCAACATCCATTTTGTTGTATGATTTTTCCCATGGTATCTGTCTGTTAAATGAGGTTATCAATACTGAAAGCAATTGCAGAATTAAATGAAAAATTCATATAATACATCCACTGTAGGGTTTGATACTATATATGTTCATAAAAAACTAAGTTTTCCTGTTGCACTTTAAGTAATTCTTGGGAAATGTTTAGGTTTTAAAATGAAGCACTAGGTGGGCGAGGCATTAGCATCCTTTACACCCAAGGAATGATCTTGCCTTACATTTCCTCCTTGCCACTGATTCCCTGATGGTTATTTCTATCAAGCTCAAGATTCACCTCCTTAGCAATGAGCCTGCTATGAAATTTTTTGTAGTTTGGGAGTGAAGATTATAAACTTCATGGATACAGCACAAGTGGGATAATTTAAGGAATGAACTTTGATGACAGTCTGTGTGCCATTCAGTGGAAGAAACATTACCTGCCAGGGGGAAAACACCACAGCTTTTCTGTTTCTCACTGGTGGCATTCCTACTTGTTGAAGAAGCATCTCATGGAGGGCATGGGCCACTGCATACACAGCATTGTATATATTGTAACTCCCATCCTTCATGGCCATGTCAAAACGATTCACAGGCAGCCATGCCAAAGAGGCATTGGGTGTACAGTCCTTCAATGTGCAATCAGAATCAGAGAATGAACAATGAAAATTATTGAACCAGTAAGTAGTGAGGTAAGTGTCTTCTGGGTATTTGAAAGGGTTAACTGCCTGGATAAAATTTTTGAAACCCGAAATTTCCTCATGGTGGTTTGAAAAAATCAGAGTCCCATGGAATGAGTTAAGTATAAAATTTTTCCCAGCCATGTCAGCATGCCATTGTGAGTTTGTGATCCAGACTCTCCATGTGGCTATGTATGGCTCTATAGCATAGTTTACATCATTTAGGGCATCAATATCATAGTAAATTACAACCACAGTTACCAGTGATGTTTCCCCAGTCAGGATAGTATGTTGATGTGCAGTTGGCATATAGGATGCAAGGGGAGTTGGAAGCATTTTCACAAATGCTGCACAGACTCTGTTCCTGGACATCTCTGCTTGCACATCGGAAAGAAATTGATGACCTTTATGACCTTCTGTAATGACAAGTCCTACCCAAGTCCAGTTGAAATGAAGCATCAAGGAAACCATGCCAAGAGCCAGAGATGTCTCCTTTCGGGACACCTGATAGAGAGAAGGAAACTGGCCATTTTCTTTCAGCATAGGATCATAAGATCCAAAGGAAACCTAAAAGGAAAGAAAATTGGAAGCAATATGATGAAGATTGGTGGTATAAGGCCCAAACTCATACCTGAACATTGCTAAGTAGTAGCTTGAAGTGATAGAAAGGGATACTTCCTCATTCTATCTTTCTAATCATCTTCCTAAGACCTTTTTCAGAAAATAACCAATGAGATCCAGACTTTCAGAAACCTTTGTGTTCCTCCTTGTGTACAGAAAAAGTAACTCTGAGCAACCCATTAAATCTATGTGTACTTACTCTTTTGACTATACCCTTTTGAAAAGTGAATGACACAATCTTCTTCTTTCACCCTGTCATTATCACCTGATAATGACAACAAGGATATTTTCATTTTTTCCCATTCCACCCAGCCTCACCTGTGGAAATTTGTAGAGTTCCAGTAATGCTCCAATTTGAGCAGAAGTTGCCCATGATGATTCTGTTAATACTGCTACCGACTTGCTTTCTCCCCAGCATGTGTAATTGGGGATCCCATCCTGTCTTGTGAGCAAGATAAGGGAACTCTCCAATATTCTCCAATGACTATTCAGGAAATTATGGAACTCATATCCCAAAGATATGTTGGGTAAAAGATGAGGATTCCTGTTAATCTCTTCTATGGCAAAGATGAAGGCTAGAAAATTCTGGTAGCTGTTGGTTTTAAGCCTGCATAGAGAGCACAGAGTTCCTCATGGAAAAGACTCAATCTATGATTATCTTCCAGTTCAGTAAAATACCACTTATTATTGTTGTGTTCCTCCTCTATGTTTATGTACAAAGAAACTAAGTATGAATGTACTGGAATTATTATGGTTTTCAGGAGGTAATTATAATTAATGAGGACTTGAGAGTGGATTTCTTATGAATGAGGTCAGTATCTTTATAATTGTCCAGAGAGTGTTACTTTATCATTTTGCTATATGAGGACACATTTACAATACTATCAAGAATGAAGTAGGAAGCAGATACTGTCTTCATTTTCCCATCTTCAACTAAAGCTATGCTGCATACAAGAAACACATTTAACTCAATAAGAAATTCATAGACCAAAAGTGAAAGGATGGAAAACAGTACTTCGTGCTATAGGAACCAGGAAAAAGGCAGGGGTAGCTATTCAATTTATAGACAATGTGAACTTCAAGAAAAAATTGATCAAAAGAAACAAAGAAAGTCACTACATACTTGTTAAGGGAAAACTCCAAGAAGTGCTAACAGTCATAAATATGTATGCACCAAACACTATTGCAACAAACTATATAAAACAAATATTGACATGAAAAATCTAATAAGCACTAACACAATTGTAATAGGGGATCTTAATACTCCACTGTGACAAATAGACAAATTGACTAAATAAAAAATCAACTAAGAAATATCAGAACCTAGCCAGACCTGTGAAAAAATGGATTTAGTAGATATCTACAAAGTGTTGCAGTCCACAGCATCAGAATACACATTCTTGCCAGGTACACATGAGATGTTCTCCAAAATAGACCACATACTAGCCAATAAAACATAATTAAGTAGATGCAAAGGAATTGAAATTATCCCATGCATATTATCTGAGCATAGTGCAATGAAATTGGAAATCAACAGCAAAAGGAACCACAGAAACTTCATAAACACATGGAAATTAAATACCACCTTCCTAAACAACCATAGAGTCACTGATGAAATTAAAGAAGAAATTAAACAGCATCTATAATTAAATGATAATGCCAATACAACATACTGGAACTTATGGGCCACAATGAAAGCAGCCCTAACAGGGAATTTTATAGCAGTGAAGTCTCACATTAAAAAACAGTGAGCTCAAATAAACAACCTAATGCTGAACCTCAAACATTTAGAAAAAGAAGTCAAGCCCAAAGCTTGCATAATGGAGGAAATTATAAAAATCAGAGTAGAAATTAATGCAAAGAGACTGAGAAAACATTACAAAAAATTAATGAATTGAAGAGTTGGTTCTTTGAAATATTAAATAAAATTGATAAACCCTTAGGCAAACTTATAAAAAGGAGCAAAAATACTCATATGCATGCAATATTGAATGAAAAGGGTGAAGTCATAATGGATCCTGTGGAAATCCAAAAGAACATCAATACCTACTTTGAGAACCTGTACTCTACTATGATGGTGAACATAGAGAAATGGACAGATTCATAAATACATATGAATTACCAAAGCTGGATCAAGAAGATAAAAAAATTCTAAATAACCCAATATCAGACAATTAATTTAAAGATGTAATTAAAAACTTGCCAAGAAAGAAAAGCCCAGGTTCTGATGGTTTCACTACTGAATTCTACAAGAAATTTGAAAAAGATCTAATCCCAGTTCTCTTCAAACTCTTGAACGAAATAGAAAGGGAAGCAATAGTCCCAAAGTCATTCTTGTAATAAAGTACTACCCTGATACAAATACCAGAGAAGGACCCAGCTAAAAAGAAAGCTACAGGCCAATCTCCTTAATGAACATAGATGCAAAAATCTTCAATAAGATACTGGCAAACAGAATGCAACAAAGCATCAAGATTATACACCATGACTAAGGATTCCAGGGATGCTTCAGAATATGCAAATAAATAAACGGAATACACCATATTAGCAGACAGGACAAAAATCACATGACCATCTCAATAGACATAGAAAAAGCCTCTCACAAGTCCAACACCCATTCATGATAAAAAAAAAAAAAAAAACCCTACAGAAAATTGGAATAGAAGGTCTATATTTCAATCTAATTAAAGCCATCTATGACAAACCAACAGCCAACATAATTCTAAATGGTCAAAAATTGAAAGCTTTCACCCTAAAATCAGGAATCAGACAAGGGTATCCACTACCACCACTTCTATACAGTATAATTCTGGAAACATTAGTCAGAGCAATTAGAGAAGAGAAAGAAATAAAAGAAATAAAGATAGGAAAGGAAGAAGTTAAATTACCATTATTTGCAGACGACATGATACTCTACATAGAAGACCCCAAAAACTCCACCAAAAGACTTCTAAATATAATATCTAAATTCAGTAGCCTAGCTAGATACAAAGTCAACACACAAATATCAATAGCATTCCTATACATAAATAACAAACTCACTGAGAGAGAAATTAGGGAAATAACTCCTTCTACAATAGCATTAAAAAATGAAATACTTAAGACTCAATCTAACAAAAGAAGTAGAAGAGCTTTACATTGAAAACTACACTACTCTGAAAAAGCAAATCAAAGAGAATATCAGAAAATGGAAAAATGTCACTTGTTCTTTGGTAGGAAGAATCAACATAGTGAAAATGGCCATACTCGCAAAATTGTTGTACAGATTTCATGCAATCCCAATGAAAATACTATTAGCATACCTCATAGAACTAGAGAAAACATTCCTTAAATTCATTTGGAACTAGAAGAGACCTAGAATAACAAAAACAATTCTGGGCAACAGAGGCAAGGTGGGGGCATCACAATCTCTGACCTGAAATTATACTACAGAGCTACTGTAATTAAAACAGCGTGGAACTGGAAAATAAAATCACACCTTAGAATCAATGAAACAAATTATAAGATGCAGAAACAACTCCAAACAGGTTCAGCCAGCTTACCTATGACAAAAGGGCCAAACACATTTCCTGAAGAAAGATAGCCTCTTTAATAAATGGTGCTGGAAAAACTGGCTTTCCATGTAGCAAAGACTAAAACTAGACCCATGTCTCTCACCATGCAGTAAACAAAAATAAAAATGGATTGAAGATCTAAATATTAAAACAGAAACACTAAATCTGCTGGAAGAGAGAAAAGGAAGAACTCTTGAGGAATAGGTGTAGGCAAAAACTTCATGATCAAGACCCCAATCACATGAGAAATATTATAAAGAATCAGCAACTGGAATCTCATCTTATTAAAAAAAAACTCTTGCACACCAAAAGAAATCACCAACAGAGTGATTAGAGAACTGACAGAGTAGGAAATATTTTTAGCCAATTGTTCCTCAAAGGACCAATATCTGGAACATATAAAGAATTGAAAAAAATCAGATCCCTCAAATTTAAAGACCAAATCCAAAAATGAGTATCTGTGATGGTAAAAATAAATGATTGTTGTTTTAGGCATCTAGTTGGTGCTACAGTTTTGTGCAACATGCTGAGTTAAGATAAAACCCCAATTATGAATAAATAACCAATAAATTTAATGTCTTTGGAAGAACTAGTCCCTATAAATTCTTAGAATTTATACTTAAGAAATAACATAATTTTGGCTTCAGATAGACCTTACTCATTTGCACATACAAGAAGGAAGTTTGAACCATGGAGAAGCATATTAGAATCATTTGGGTTTTGTAAATGGACCTTGGTATCTAGAACTAAAAGAAGCACACACATTAACGTATCATTAATTGCTTCATATTACAAGAATGATAGTCACATGAAGCTGAAAAATCAGTGAATAGAAAGGATAATGTTAATTCAAATGTCTGTGAGAAGCAGAGAAACGTGATATCTATGGAGTGATTGTGGTGCAGCAAAAGGTTGGCAATTAAGTTACCTAAATGTGTACACATCAAATACATGTATCTGCCAGCATCAAAAACCAGGAAATTCAGATCACCATCAGAGCCCTAAGTAAAAATAAATCATGAAAATGCAGGGACACCTGATGAAAGTATGAAGCACTGGAAGGATTAGGAACTCTTAGAACTCTATAAAGCACAGCATTGAAAATTTTAAACTAATTAACCTGTTATTCTTTTAAAATATAAAATAATGTCAATGCAAAAATCAATATTTGTACCATCACTTATGTAAAACAGCTCTAGCATCATCAACTTTCCTACAATTTTGAATGCAAATTATCTCCTGGAAAATGACAGTTTCTTACATTTCTATTCCCTGATATCTAAAATGTAAGCAACACTACAATGCACTATTGTCTTGTATTATTTTTAAATTGTCAGAGGCTTCCAGGCCTCTGTACCACCCCCTCCC